GATTATAAGTTCCCAAGAAACTTTCTGTTAAACAGTAATATTGAAGACAAATAATATTAAAGTAAAAAAAAATACAAATTGTTGACCAGTCTGGCCTGAGTCTGAGTACCGTACTGTGACCGTATATTATTGTCAATTTGTATTTAATTGACAGGTAGTTACTTGATTATCATAAGTAAATAAGTAAGGAAGTAATTTTTATTTCGAAAAGGCACATATGTATAATAAACAATTGCATGATCTATATACGGTCATATACCGTTGAAAACATCTTACTACAATCTGTCGATACTTATAGTTTGGCATTGCACAAAGTCATGTTTTTCTCTGACTGTTAATGACGTCTTTACACTAAATCCATTGGATGTTGGATGTGAACTGATTGATATTTTAGTCTTAGATACATGAATTTTTTTATTAGTTTTTATTGGCTTTGAACTAGCTGTCGGTAACTGCCAGTACTCAGTCTCATTTCTGTACTAAGTGTCTTTTCGTTTTCGGGATGTACAAGTACCCTGCCACGTCCACCATGTGTTATTGTTAGATGTATTTCTATTTGTATCCATCAGATGAGGTAAGCCTTTTTCAACTGATTGTTATGGTTTGTTCTTATGTTGTACTGTTACACCACTCTTTCAGGTTAGCTAGGGGAGGATTGAGTGCTCACAAACACGTCTAACCCCGCCACATTCTTTATGTGCCTGTCCCAAGTCAGGGGCCTGTAATTCAGTGGTTGTCGTTGGTTCATGTCTGTCATATTTGTTTTTCGTAAATTGATTTGTTAAAAATTAGGCCGTTAGTTTTCTCAATTAAATTGTTTCATATTTTTCATGTCGGGGCCTTTTATAGCCGACCATGCATACGGTATGGGGTTTTCTTGTCGAAGGCTGTACGGTTGCCCATAATTGCTTTCATCAACTTCATTTGAACTTTGGTGGATAGTTTTCTCATTGGCAATCATACCACATCTCCTTATTTTTATATTAATACTAAGACAAATACACATAAACATAAAAATGTTAGCCTATATGATTTTTAATTAAGATAAGCACACATAACATGCATAAGCGTCAGACTAAATTAACATAGTATCTCCTTGTCTTTATAACGTAAGGGTTTATGTGTATTTGTCTTAGTATTAATATAAAAATAAAGGGATGTGGTATGATTGCCAATTATACTTGTACCATTTGCATCTATTTTTACCATATTTTTTGTTCACCATCATTTATTTAAGAAGACAAACTGAAGTTTCCATTCTGTATTTATTCTGTAGATATATGCAAATTGGGTACTCGGTGCAATTTAAGTATTGTTACTATTATCTAAAATGTACTCTAAATATAACAAACGTCTAAAACAGTAGGTTATATCTAAATGTGTAAAGAGTTTTGTTTGAATTTACTTAATATTTTACTGTTTTTACAAAGATGTCCAACAGGCTAAGTTTATGTTTCTATTGGTCCATCATGTTACAAGAACACGCTAAATAACCCTAAAGGTACATGCATGAAGCTACAGTAGACAACTGCAAGAAAAGAGCCTGTGTCCTCTATTCATAGCGGTTTTCAAGATAATAGACAAAACTTGCATTTTACCCCTATGTTTTATTTTTAGACATGTCGGCAATATATTGGTTGCCAGACTGGGTCATCGAACACATTTTTAAAACAAGATACACCAATCATGATTTTGGCCAAGTTTGGTAAAATTTGCCCCATTAGTTTCAGATGAGAATATTTTTTGTAAAAGTAAACGGACGACGACGACGGACGACGGACGCCAAGTGTTGAGAAAAGCGTTAAACACGAGAAGAGAATCGAAGAATGTGTGACTAATAGATTGTTGTTTGCCTATCGTCCAGTTCTGCAAACAGAGGTTCGGCAAGTAGGAAGGCCGGTCATTGCGGTTGTCACTTCGGAAATGAAGGTATCTGATATTGGCAGAAAGTTTGCCTTACTAAAAGCCACATTCGGTCCTCTCAGAGAATTATTGTAAGAGTTCTTTAACATGCTAAAATGTTTTAGCATTTGAGAATATTCTGAAAATCGTCTGGTTGAGAACATCTAGCTATATTAGGTTTCAATTAATTCAATTAAAATTATCACAGGAAGTTTCTTGTGGCGGTTTTCTTTAGTACAGGAATAGGTTGACCAACATTTTCACTGAACTTTTTGCTCTTTGGTCGGGATTTTATCTCTTTGACGCATTCCCCGTTTCCATTCTCAATTTTATATCAATAAATAACGTTCTACTTTATATCCACGTATATAACAGAACGTCTGTCTTTTCTTTCTCTGACGAAAGCAATAAACACAGTGGGTCAACTGAATGCAAGTAGAATCAATTTTAGCAAGACGATGTATTTTCAAGTACTGTCTTTAGGTAATTTATTTCGTTTTATGTTGTATTGTTGCTTTGTTGTAAACCCTAATCATCGTTTTATGTCAAGTAATTATAGTCTATCAGTAAAATCGGTGGTACTACGATGGGATTTAGTTTTATTTCTTAGCTTGTAAAAACTATGAATGAAATCTTCTTGGACATATCAGAACAAATAGATATACCAGAAGAGTGCTTAACCTTAAGGATGTACTTAGATGAGGTTTTGGAATTTTTGTCAGATGTTCGGACTCCTTGTTTTTTTCCTACGATACAAGGTAAAATATTTGCCCCATAACACCCATTTTTCTGTTCATATAAGACTTAAATAGCTCATAATAGGTCATTTACCAAAATTTAAGCAAATTCTAGATTTCTTTTCTTTCGGGTTGAGACCCAAATACTACCAATGCAAATATAAGGTAAAAATCCAAGTCAGCCTTTTCCCGCCATTTTTTAAAAATTAGATATCTCGAAAGGGAGCTCCATAACCTATCAATATTTTTAGCTTATTTTGTTCCTTAAATAACGCTGTTCTGACTTATAGCATCAACTTTAAATTCGAGATTTATTTAATTTCACCTAGGTACATACTTAAGATGGTTTAAAATTATAAATTTTATTGTTCTCTACTTCTACAATGTTTATTTATATATAACATGGAAATATACTATATCAAACTACATTATGTACATTGCCTGAATTAATGTTTCATCGATTTATTTCCAAAAATAATCAAAGAACCTACCCTTGTTATGAGATTATGAGCAGCGAAATAAACCTATGAAATCATTCCTAAATTTAAAGACAAAGTAACAATAAATGATAGGGTTAACTACGTTGTTTATCACATACAATCTGTCCAAAGTGAAAAAGACGTTCATCTCTTCTGTAGAAAGGTTGTTTCAAAGTTCGTGGTCACTCAACTTGCCGATGAAGAGGAAAATACATGTCGGGACATATGAAATAAGATAGAAAATCATAATTGCCATAAACATCATGTTAAAATTAATTTGGCTGGCTCTGCATGCTTTCCTCCGAGTAAAGGCTCTCAGGCTTGGACCATCGACTGGTTTACTTTCTGATGAAGAGTCAGATAGTGCAGATGCGATGTTGGCACTGGTCGTTTGTGTTTTCCTTATTTTTGTATGCTTGTATATCTGAATACCAATAGGAATGTACAGCAACGAAACAATAAAAATATTTGCTACGATTAGGAAGAAAAAAATGAGTAATAAATTCCTTCAATCGTTGGGTATTTCCCGGAAGTAGGGTAACAGCTCCACCCAGTAACATTCAACTTATAAGCCACTCCTTCCACTTGTTTATTTCCAGCAAGAACCAACACTGGACAAGACCAAATAATCGAAATAAAGATTACCGACATCAAAGCTATTCTCCGTTTTGACTCGTTCATCTGGTTTCCAAGTGACTTACAGATTTTGAGGTATCTCTACACTGCAATCAGAAGTAGTAGTAGCCCAGATGTAGACGAGGAACCTGTCATCACAAATAACAATCCTATACAAAGTGATCCTGATGGAAAAACGACAAAATACATGGATTCCAAAACATAAAATATTGAAGCTGATGTGCTGGCTATGAAATCAAACACCGACAATATAGGAATGAAATAACGGTCATCCCGTTTTTAAAGGCAGTGCTTTAATGCCTTTCTGGTTGCCGTGTTAATGTTTCTTTCCGCGATATCCAACTTATCTACGTGGGGGGTCATTAGGCTCCAAGTAGATCCGGAAAATGTTGATTCTCTCCTCTTCTTATTGTGATATAAAATGTTTTTTGATTCATTTCATTTACATTGGGAAATAGAGAAACGATCATTGTGTTTTGTTAGTTTTTAAAACTTTTGATATATTTGTATTTTGCATTATAAGCAGTCAACCGATGGACAAACTAGAATTATTTGAATTCCGTGTGGAAAGAGGTCGGGTTAATTTCGAGTGTTATCTGCAATCTAGATGTTTATAAATCATTTCAGTCGTTGATATAATAATTAAAGATCGACTGAACATGAATTATATTATACAATTTAAAGCGCATTTCTGTTTATGCACGTGAACCCGTCTAACGTTATTGTTATATCGAAGTTATATAAAGTAGCAAATTATCGTTCCTGAATAGGTGGCGCCGTGGTAGCCGAGCCTGTTCTTAAACTTCCGATTTCTACACTGCCCGGTGGTTCTCTCCGAGTACTTCGGCTTCCTCCACCATAATACCAGACTTCCCGGTGTCCTACACGCTCCCTTGGGCGGTGTTGGGGTGGGGATTGTTCTGGTGGTGGGTTAATATTGTAAAGGACACATCTCCAATAATCCTAAGGGAGTGTACATGGATCCGCTGTACCCTTGCAGTCAATCAAGGGGTGCGTCTCTTGCAGTCAATCAAGGGGTGCGTCTACACTGGCGGAATCTCGAAGTACATACATACTGTGCAACTATTACAGTTGCATTTTTAATTAACGATGCCAACTACTTGTTGTTGTGTACCTGGATGTCATTTAAGAGGAGGACATGCATTTCCAAATGACTTAAAAAGAAGGAAAAGTTGGATCGCCGCCATGGCCCATACGCAGATTTGACGAGAACAATCCATCTCAATCAGCTGTTGTTTGCAAGGCACATTTTACTGAAAAAGACTACGTGCAGAAAACTATTCATGGTAAAACTCTATTTTCTTTTTAAAATATATAGTTATATATGTAATCGCCATGCGAATAAACCAAAGTTTGTTTACAACCGCAATTATCGTTTTAGATTATAAAAGGGGGTGGTTAATTCAAGACGTCATAATTTTTTGGATTACGATTCAATGTGATCTGTTTGAGATTTTTTGGTGCTTGCTACAATTATAATGATTTCTTACAAAGGTATATCATACTGAGAATTATTTTAGCAGTAATTATGCTAATGTAGTAATGACAGGAATGCATAAGCATAGACTTTCTTGAAAAATATCAATGACATGCTCTCATCTATATTATAGTTATTTAGGTACAAACAATGTACGTTTGTTGCATAAGTCTCTCATTGTTTGTCCTTTGGATTTACATAACATACATTGAATCAGGCTAACATAGTTTTATCCAGATTGTAATGAATATATCTAGTTAATATTTTGCCAGGTAGTACAAAGTATGCATTGCTAATGGAAGTTCATTTAATTATCAAAAAACTAATGTTTTATAACATTTGTCAGGGCGCAAACCCACCATACAGAGACTTAAGTCTACTGCCATTCCCAGCCTATTTTTCTGGACCAAGCAAGAGACTGAATCGGCCGCAAAAAGAAAAATCAGGGCAGTGTCCTGTGAAAACAAAAGAACTAAACTTGATGAATATTGTAGTAGAAATCTAGAGGAAAGTTTTGATTGTAAAGTTGGTTTTCCTGAAGAAGTCATTCATACTGCAGACAGGATTTATGACTGTCCACCACCAACTGCCGAGCTAATGTTGAGCTTCACAGATGGAATTAAACAAACACCATCAATGCCTATATTTTCAGCAGAGAATTTTGAAATGAAGACACGTGACACAGCCATGCATTTTTATACCGGTTAAGAGTTGTATACTAAATTTTTATTTGTTTTGACCACACTTGGTCCAGCAGCACATTGTTTGAGATACATTGTACATATATTTTCAAATTGATAGGGTGTCATTTGAAAATCAGTTTTTTTATGACTTTGATGAAATTGAGGCACTATACAACCAACTTTGAACTGTCTAGATTCTAGATTGAAACTAGTGTTAAGAATATTGTATAAACATGGATTGTTTTTATGTCTAAACAGTGGCGTGAGGCTAACACTTAGCCATTTAGTGGTTTAGTCAGGTATTTTTCGCCATCCAACTTCAAATTAAAGTTTCCTACAACTTGGATTATTATTGACAGCACAGAATATCCCGTGATAAAACCTAAAGCTCCTAGAGCTCAGACAACCTTTTCATCATATAAAAACAGAAACACTGAAAATACTTGTATGTTCGACACCTAGTGGTTTAGTCAACTATGTCTCTAATGCATATGTTGGTTGTACCAGTGACTGTGAAATAGTTGAAAGATGTAGAATAGTTCAATTATGTGATCCAGGTGACAGTGTGATGGCAGACAAAGGTTTAAATGTGCAAGATTTGTTTGCTCACTTTAAAAAAAAAAAAAAGAAACAGAATAAGTTCCAAAACTCTTATACGGGATAGAAAAGTCTCCAATTCACACGTGAATATAGAGCTAATTATTGGACTTGGCAAAACATACAAAATTCTAATAAATCCTATGAATGGAACTGAAACAAAACTTTCATCTGAAATAACATTTAGTTGTTTTATGTTGTGTAATTTTAGAACTTGTATTGTGCCAAAGGATGCATAAATAAAAGTGACGCAATGAAGTTTGTTCTGATATATATATATTTACAATTACATGCACATGTAAATTGAAATGCATATAAAAATAAGGAGAAATGGTATGATATTCAGTAAGTTTATCGAACCAAAGTGCATAAGAAATGGGTTAAGCAGTTATAGGTGTTACTGTCACCGTACAATCTCCAACAATGAGAAAAACTTCTACCGTGTAAAAAATTTCAGAGATCTTACAACTAAGTTTTGTTGTCTCACCTTGACTTTGGTGAATTGTTTATATCTGTTGATGTAAATATAAAAAAGAAGATGTGGTATTGCCAATGAGACAACTCTCCACAAGAGGCCAAATGACACAGAAATTAACAGCTATAGGTCACAGTACGGCCTTCAACAATGAACAAAGCACATACCACACTGTGAGCTATAAAATGACAATGTAAAACAATTCAAACAAGAAAACTAACGGCCTAATTTATGTACAAAAAATGAACGAATAACAAATATGCAACACATAAACAAACGAAAACCACTGAATTACAGGCTCCTGACTTGGGACAGGCACATACATGTACATACAGAATGTGGCGGGGTTAAACATGTTAGCGGGATCCCAACCCACCCCCTAACCTGGGACAGTGGTGTAACAGTACAATATAAGAACGCATTATAAAAATCAGTTGAAAGAGGCTTAACTCATCAGATGGATAAATACAAATACAAGTGGTCGTGGCCGGGTAGTTGTACATCCAAACAACAAAAAGACACTAAGTACAGATCTGAGAGTACTCGCATTTACTGACAGCTAGTTCAAAGCCACTAACAACTGATAAAAAAATCTTGCATCTAAGACTAAATTATCAATCCGTAAGCTCCCTTTAGAATTTTATTAATTTTAGATTTTACATTTCTGAGTTATGGGGTTTTATTCATTAAAAAAGGGGGGATTTTCCAGTTTTTGGACAACAACTCAAAAATGCTTTAAGCATTTCGCATGAAACTTTGGTGAATTATTTATAGCTATTGATGTAATCTCCCTATAGATTTTCATAAATTTCAAATATGACATTGAGAAGAAATTGAAATTTATTTGTTTATAGTCTGGCAACAGATTTATTAAGCATTGCGCAAGAGCACAGTGTATTGCACAACAGCAAGAAAACTTTAATTGAATATAAATTCAATTCATATAACCGATTTCAAGTTCTTTGACTACATTTATTCAGAAACTATAATATGTCAAATATTTAATTACAATCCAAATTCAGACCTGTATCAAGCTTGAATATTGTGTCCATTTTTGCCCCAACTGTTCAGGGTTGGACCTCTGCGGGTGTATCCAGCTGCGCTCAGACAGTGAATCAGTTTATTTCTTAATTAAGAACTCCTTTTTGTCGAGCCTGCGACTTTTGTCGCAGAAAGCTCGACAGGGATAGTGATCCGGCGGCGGCTTTAGCTAACTTCTTAAAAGCTTTATATTTTAGAAGGTGGAAGGTCTGGATGCTTCATACTCTGTTTATGGATGCCTCATGTTACGAAGTTTCCGTCAGTCACATGTCCAATGTCCTTGACCTCATTTTCATGGTTCAGTGACTACTTGAAAAAAAAAGTTAAGATTTTTTGTAATGTTAAATTCTCTCTTATTATAAGTAATAGGATAACTATATTTAGTATGTGCGTACCTTGCATGGTCCTCATGCCCGTCAGACAGTTTTCACTTGACCTCGACCTCATTTCATGGATCAGTGAACAAGGTTAAGTTTTGGTGGTCAAGTCCATATCTCAGATACTATAAGCAATAGGTCTAGTATATTCGGTGTATGGAAGGACTGTAAGGTGTACATGTCGAACTGGCAGGTGTCATCTGACCTTGACCTCATTTTCATGGTTTAGTGGTTATAGTTAAGTTTTTGTGTTTTGGTCTGTTTTTCTTATACTGTATGCAATATGTCTACTATATTTGGTGTATGGAATGATTGTAAGGTGTACATGTCTAGCTGGCAGGTGTCATCTGACCTTGACCTCATTTTCATGGTTCAGTAGTCAAAGTTAAGTTTTTGAGTTTTGGTCTTTTTTTCGAATACTGTATGCAATAGTTCAACTATATTTGGTGTATGGAAATATTTTATGATCTATTTGTCAGTAACACAGGTTTTTTTTTACCTTGATTTCATTTTCAAGGTTCATTGTTCAGTTTTAAGATTTTGTGTTTTGGTCTGTTTTTCTTATACTATAAGCAATAGGTCAACTATATTTGTTGTATGGAAGGATTGTTAGCTGTACATGCCTGCCTAGCATGGTTAATCTGACCTTGACCTCATTTTCTTGGTTCATTGGTCAATGTTTTGTTTACTTGGTTAATGTTAAGTTTATGTGACAGTTGTAATAAAGCTTTATATTTAGGACTATAAACATAATATCAATGATTAGTAAAGAAGGCGAGACATTTCAGCGTGTGCACTCTTGTTTCATTCGTAAATTACTTTATACTTGGAAATATAATTTTACTTGGAGTTATAGTTTCTAAAAAAAGTATTGTCATTGAAAGCGTTGACATGTTGCAATGTACATTTATTCTACATAGTTCTATGGTACCAAATCAAAAGTTTATATAAAAAAGAAGTCAAAGGTTTCCCATCATTGTTTAGTTACATACATTTTTTGTGTACCTGAGGTCGTTGAATATAGATCATTATATAAATAAGGAGATGTGTTATGATTGCCAATGAAACAACTATCATCTATACATTGTACGTACCAGTAACAAACCACACTTGCAAAGTTGAATAAAATACAGTTGATAACATTTACTTATTACTAAAAAGAAAATGCCAAACTTTTTTAAACAGTATTTGACTATAAACATAAATAAAAAAGGTACAAACTGGACATAATGCACTAGTTCATAAACAAGTGAGAACAATCGCCTTCATATAGTGCTCAGAATATGACATTCATAAAACTTGTTCAATATCATTAGAGAACTTTAAATCTTAAATACTGAAAGCCACCTCTGATAAGTACAATGTACTATGCAAGATAATGATATAACTGGACTAAAAATACACACAACCTGTAATTAACTGCCTTTACAGCGCTTTCGCGCTTTGTTTCCTTCATGCGAAAGGAATACACTCCAAGAACGACAATGTTTCCGATAAATCCTAATACCAAGATAACGCACTGAATATAGACTGTTGGATAAAGTTTTAATCGATAGTCCTGGTTCCATTTTTGAGTTAAATTATATGCCATATATTTCGTGTTTTTTAACTAGTGTCTTATTTGTAAGGTTTGTCCACAAAAAGGAAGTAGACTTGTTCATTTATAAAGCAAAGTGAGTACAAAATTAGGAATTTCTAAATTAAGGCGAAAAAAAACCGGAAAACATTTAATACACCCATATTTGGTTTAGTAATTTTAAAAAAACTGTTTTAATGTATGAAATAAAAGTATTTGTTTCCTTGTATATATCCTCTTTAAAATTATGTAATGGATTAATCATTTTAGATGCGAAAGAAAGATATGAGAGACCGGATGGAGTTTACAAAATAGATAATAATGCACAAAAGGGCAGAATAAAGGGCAAAAAAAAACGAAAACAGAAAAATAGGCAAATAAAATAAATATTGGAGTAATAGGATTACTAAACTAATTAGAATATAGGATTACTAAACTAATAAGAATAGAGATATAAATTAGATATCTCGAAAAGGAGCTACATAACCTATCAATATTTTTAGCTTATTTTGTTCCTTAAATAACGCTGTTCTGACTTAGAGTATCAACTTTAAATTTTAGATTTTTTTAATTTCACCTAGGTACATCCTAAGATGGTTTAAAATTATAAATTTTATTATTCTCTACTTCTACAATGTTTATTTATATATAACATGGAAATATACTATATCAAACTACATTACGTACATTGCCCAAATTAATGTTTCATCGATTTATTTCCAAAAATAATCAAAGAACCTACCCTTGTTATGAGATTATGAGCAGCGAAATAAACCTATGAAATCATTCCTAAATTTAAAGTCAAAGTAACAATAAATGATAGGGTTAACTACGTGGTTTATCACATACAATCTGTCCAAAGTGAAAAAGACGTTCATCTCTTCTGTAGAAAGGTTGTACCAAAGTTCGTGGTCACTCAACTTGCCGATGAAGAGGAAAATACATGTTGGGACATATGAAATAAGATAGAAAATCATAATTGCCATAAACATCATGTTAAAATTAATTTGGCTGGCTCTGTATGCTTTCCTCCGAGTAAAGGCTCTCAGGCTTGGACCATCGACTGGTTTACTTTCTGATGAAGAGTCAGATAGTGCAGATGCGATGTTGGCACTGGTCGTTTGTGTTTTCCTTATTTTTGTATGCTTGTATATCTGAATACCAATAGGAATGTACAGCAACGAAACAATAAAAATATTTGCTACGATTAGGAAGAAAAAAAGTGAGTAATAAATTCCTTCAATCGTTGGGTATTTCCCGGAAGTAGGGTAACAGCTCCACCCAGTAACATTCATCTTATAAGCCACTCCTTCCACTTGTTTATTTCCAGCAAGAATTAACACTGGACAAGACCAAATAATCGAAATAAAGATTACCGACATCAAAGCTATTCTCCGTTTTGACTCGTTCATCTGGTTTCCAAGTGACTTACAGATTTTGAGGTATCTATGCACTGCAATTAGAAGTAGTAGTAGCCCAGATGTAGACGAGGAACCTGTCATCACAAATAACAATCCTATACAAAGTGATTCTGATGG